GGCCGCCGCGCCGCCGGGGTGGCCGGCGCGTGCCAGCCGCTGGCCCGTCCAGCGTGGCGGGACCGGCTCGGCGCATCCTGGCCCGCGCGCTTGCCGACGCGAGAAGATCGCGGGAGAGGGCAAAATGTGGCAAAAATGGGCCTGTTTGCAAACCTTCACGGCGACTTCACGTCGGAACGAGTCGGATCGACGACTCGCCGCCTGCACCAGCGTGTGCGCCTTGCAATTCTATACAGAATCGATACTTGGTACGTCTTCTCAATCGCTCGTGGAGAGGATCTACGGCCATTCTCCACTTGTGTTCGACGATGTCGAACAATGTTCGACATCGTCGAACACGATCGAGTAACCGCACGACAGAGGTGCTAATGAATGCACCGTTCCACGAGACACCCGCCACGAGCGATTTGTTAGATTGCGATCTCAAGTACGACGCAGATACTCTTGAGCACTTCAGCTCACCTTTCGGTTACGAAGGCCCGGAGTGTTCCTTTACCTCTCTTTTCTGATTTGACTACTGATCTCTTGATCTATTCTAGACGTGCCACATCACTAGACACGCCACGCCCCCGGGGCGGGTCCGGCGCCCAAGGGGCGCCGGCCAATTCCTCTAGTCACCTCCTTCGCTGTCCCATCTCCCCACCTCTTTCCCGCCTGGGCGGGGCGGTGGGCGGGCGCGCGGTGCGGCGCGGCGTGTGCGTGTGTGCGTCTGCAACGAAGGACCGCTCGCAGAGGACCATTGGGTTTGTACTATTAACAACGAAGGCGCTCTCAAAAAAAAAACACAGCAAGTCGCCTGACAGCCGAACGGAAGCCTCGGAAGCCTCCTTGTGACCGGAGGCGTGCGCCACACACAGCCGCTGGCAGTCTCCTTCTCTTGGCACGCCGACCTCCTCGCCCGGCCCTAATGTCGCCGTTCCACTCTTCCCCCTCTCCCTCCCCCCGTGCGAAAACCGGCGCCCATCTGTGACCCGCCGCCGAAAATCCCGCCTGTCTCCCGGCAGGAGCTCTTCTATCGCGGCGAAAGCATGGGCTGCACCGTGAAACTGGTGGGGCCTGATATGACGGCCGGCATGGAGCTGACGATGGCGCTGCAGGACACCATTTGTGACTTGAGAAAGGCCGTGTATGACCGTCTGGCGGCGGCCTCCGCACCAGCAAACGAGAGTGCGGGGGCGAGCGCCGCGCCCGCCGGCGCAGCCACCGCGCCGCAGCAGCAGCACCCGAAGCTCGAGCAGCTCCGCGTGATCTATCAGGGCCGCTTCGTCTCGGACGACAAGCCCATCAAAGGCGCGCGCCCCTCTCCCTTGCGTGTGCCCGGCGGTGGAAGAGGGCGAGGCGAGGAGGTTGCAAAGCTGCGAGACGCACGCCCCCCCCCCCCCCCCCCGGGGGCGCGCGCTCTGCCGAGAACCGCCGCTTTCTCCGCGCAGAACTCAAGGTGGAGGAAGGAGGGACGACCTGGGTGCACATAATCGTGCGGAGTCTCGAGGCCAAGAAGCCGGGGGCGCTCAAACCCTTCCCT